CTCCTCCTCCTCCTTTTCCTCATCCTCCCCCTCCTCGCTGCATGTCACTCCTCCTCCTCCGTCTTCCTACTCCTCATCCTCCTCCTACTCCTCCTCCTTCCTACTCCTTCTCCCACTCCTCCTCACCCCATATCATTCCATGTCACTCCTCCTCCTTTTCCCCCTCCTCCTCCTCCCTACTCCTCCCTCTTCCTGCACATCCTCCGCCTCTTCCGCCTCCTCACGTCCTCACTCCCTCACTCCTCCTCCTCTTCTTCCTCCTCCTCCTCCACAGCCGCCGCCGCCGCTCCGTAGCCATTTTGGCTCAAGCTTTTTGCTTGCGCCAACAGAGAATGGATACCACTAGTCCACGGAAACCGTCTGCCGTTAACGGGATGGATTCCCCTGCCGACTGACTGTGCCTGTCAAGGTCTGCCAGTTCAACTACGCACGATTGCGCATTGGCCACCCCTCACCTTTCCACCAAAATACTGAATTTGGGTGTTGGAGGGCTGTCCGTGCCACTTCGGTGCCACTCATGCAGCCGCCTCGTCACCGCTCCAGCCACCAGGGTGACGGCTCGGCCCATGCCGCCACAGCGTAACATGTGCCGGTGTGCTGTCACTCATGCGGTCGCTCCGTTTCCCCGCCCCTACCGGGGTGATGGCTCGACCCCTAGGCCCAGGATGGGCCAGGCCTGCGTCGCCCAAGACTCGCCAAGCCACCCCAACCTAATTCGAAGTGGAGGTTGTGCATAGCAGTCCCCAAATGGGGGGACGCTCGCGCATATCGAGAAAACATCATGGAATCCGTACACACCCCAACGCGGAGATTCTGGTGGTGTGGGACCTTCGGTTTGAGTTGGGGTGGTTTGGTGAGCTGTGAAAAAAAGACGGCTGAATAATACAGGTGCCGACACGGGCGTAGTTAGAAACAAACGAACTGCATAAACATGAGCTCCTGGCGCTCCGCGCGCGCACCCGGGGGGCCACAGCGCGGATACAACAAATCCGCGCGAAGCGCCAAAAGTTAATGTTTATGTTTTTCTTCGACGGAGAGTTAATGGCCTACGAACCAGACCTAAGTGAGCGCAGCTGGAAAACGGAAGGCAACAGCTAGGCGGAGAAAAAGAAGCAAATCCCCCGCAAGGGGCATGCATTATGTTATGACCGCAACTCGCCGGACTTCTCCGGGGGTGCGTTCTGACCACAACTTCGAGGAGAATCCAACTGTGGTGACGACGACTCTCCAGGCCGAGCAAAGGTATCGGTATATGTTCCTCCTCCTCCACCTCCTCCTGCTGCGTGCTCGAGGTCCTCCCGATCCCCGACTCTGCCTGGAACCACTCGTGGAAGCGGACGATACCAGGATGCTCCAGGCTGGTGAGCACCTGCCCCGGAAGGGACCGCGCAGGGACGAGAGACAAAGAGGGAAGATAAAGATGGAAGGAGGCGGAGGCGGAGGAGGAGGAGTGAATTGTACTCCATACAATGAGTGTTTCGGAGGCTGTCTGACTACGATGTTAAAATGTACCCTCCCCCTCGCTTCAGCATGCTAGCAGGTACAATAGCAGACAGCAGGACAGTGCAGCATAGCATCACATAGGTGCTTCGACGCTGTTCTGGCTCTATACGATCTGGGAGGCCACTTGCACTTACCAGAAAGGAGCGTCCCTCCCATCCGGGCACGCAGGGCGATAGCTTGGAGGCGAGAAGAGCGGAGTTAGCAGAGATTATGGACTTCGATTTGACAGGTTTGGAGACTTCGAACGCTTCGGCCGATTGACATCGGTAGCGGAGCTACGGCTCCACGAACACGACACGATGGGACCGCACACGGGCGGAAAATAATCCATTAATAAAGACACTCCGCAGCATGCTGGCTGGGCACCCGGGGTTGATGGCCCACTCGAAAACTACAAGGCTTTCAGAAAGAATGTGGGGATCTACGCCGCCAGGGCCCGAAGCACAGAGATTGAGAAATTCGTCAGACTCGGGATCATGCAAGGCCTGTGGGGCCGAGAAGGACCTGGACTCCATCGAGGACCTGGACATCATCGAGGAAGAGAAGGGCTGGATGACCATACTGAAGGAACTGGACCGCGCGTACAAGAATGACCAGATGACAGAACTGTCGATTGATTTCGAGAGCTTCGTCTTCCGCGTGACTCGCAAGCCGAAGAAGCCCATGATCGATTACTGAACGAAGTTTCGCGCGGCGGTAAGAAAGACCAGGACGCACGACATTACCATCACAGACCAGGAGCTGGCATTGTTTCTCCTGCGGCGAGCTAGGTTAGACAAGGAAGGCAAGCAGCTCGCCACGAACCAGACTTGGAACAACCTCACCCTCGAGAATGTAAAGAGCCAGCTGAAGACGACTTTCGGCCTGGACTTGCTGCCATCTGAGCGGGCATGCTCTGGAGCTGCCAGTTACCAGGTAGAGGCGTACTTTGATGAGAACAACTATCTGGAGGAAGCATATGATGATGATGAAGAGCAAAAGTACCCCAACTATGACGACGGCGGTGGCGCACATCAAGTGGAACAAAGAAGTGCCAGCGGCTTCGACAGCGAGGCCAGTAATTTCAACGGCACAGCCAATATGCAGCCAGCAGACCAGGCAGCGTACAACGTGGACGAATATGACGACCTCATGGCAACATGCACCGATGTTGAGATTGGCCAGAGGTTTCTATCCCGTCAAGGCTGTGGTGCATCCGCCGACGACGCCACCCAGGAGCACGACATCGATCATCCCTCGAGAAGGTGGTGGCCGCGGACGTGGAGGACAGAAAGGCAAGTCAGCACGAGAAACACCAGCTAAGGGACGCGGCAAGACGGGCTACCAGAGGACCACGACCTGGATCTCCACCAGGCGGCGCACCAAGAGCCACAGAGGAGACCAAATGCGTAAGATGTGGGGAACGAGGCCATTTTCCTCGCGCCTGCCCGCATCAGAGCAGGAAGCGAGCCCACGTTGCCGCGGACGCGTCGGACATCAGGATGGCCACCGACACGGAACCCGACATGATCTACAACGCAGGTGACCACAACCCAGCTGAAGCCGTACACGACAGTGGAGCGACCAGCGTGATAGTTGGCGATGAGACGCTCAAGGCATACTGCGAGAGGCTGGTCATGAAGAGCTTTCCGGTGAAGAATGTGAAGTTTCCCCATGTCTTAAAAGTTTCAGGTATGATAGCGATGCGACTGGCGAAGCGACGGCGTGTGCAGTGGTTCCTTCATGCCCTGTTGGTCGCTTCGTGGAGATTCTGACCTATGTCATCACAGGTCGTACGCCACTGTTGTTCGCAATGCCTATCATGGAAGAGCTCGGCATAGTCACGGACTGTAATCATAAGAAGCGTGCTGGGACGGCGGTGGCAACTGGCCTCCACTACGCCAGCAGGCCCAAAGAGGAAATTGTATCACCGATATGCTGGAAGGCTACGACGCATGCGTGAAAGACCGAGCCGACCAAACCCTCCTCTCGCAAAATATGCTGGACCATGGTCGCGTGCAACACCCGATCAACCCGTAAAGTTCCCTTGGGGAAGAATTGGTGCCGTACGAGGAGTCCCTGGACTACATCGGCGCCATGTTCGAGACCAATCAGCTGGAGGAGAAGGACGAAAACATGAACCTGGCCAAGAACCTCCGAACCAAGCAACTTCGCCGGTGCCAGGACGCGGTAAACTCAGCCTAAAAAGAAATGAATAACGACATGGACAGAACGAAAGAAGATCAGCGAGGAAAATGGAAGGTTTGGGAGGTCCACGGTGGCCAATTGGAGCTCACACCAGACATGCGACGACGAGGCTTTCAGGCCAGGACCTCCGGACTCCACACAACGGCTGGGACTTCAAGCCCCCAAGCCAGACCACGCAAGAACCGAGCCTTTGTCATTCACTCCCAGCTCGGGCCAGGAAAGACTCGAGCCAAAATGGCTACGGATTGCGATCAACTGTTTTATTCCCCACAGCCAAAGTGGGGTTCTTGTTTTTCTCTGCGCACCCGCCGAGCAGGAACCTCACACTTCACCCCCTCTCTTCTTCCCCCGTCGCACACTCACTCATTCACTTAATCACTCACACCATCATCATCACTCCCGCGCGCACACACATCCACTCTCAGTCAATCATCACTCACTCGTCACCGCACTCACCCGATCACTTTCATTCATGTCGCTCAAACCTGCCCTTTCTCACTCATCACCATTAGCGTCACAGCACCATCGTCGTCATCACTCGCACATTCTCTCATCTACACAACCGTGATCATCACTCACTCACTCGCCCACTCACTCACCCGCCTACCCACCCAAGCGGGAGCCTCGTCTGTGAGTGAATTGCGAGGAAGTCTCAGGCGGCAGACCCCTCCGTATGGGGCCCGCACTTCATGTTGGTAATCCGAGCGGGTCATCGACCTCCTGCAACTGTCGTCACTTTTGGGTTAATCAGGCCTGAAGTTGAAGGAAGTCTCAGGCGGGAGCTTCGTCTGTAAGTGAATTGCGAGGAAGTCGCAGGCGGGAGCCCCCTCCCTATGGGGCGCGCGCTTCATGTTGGTAATCCGAACGGGTCATCGGCCTGGTGGTGGAGGAGGCAAGAGGAGGAGGAGGAGGAGGCAGGGGTTGAGGCAGGAGGAGGCTGGAGAGGGTGCACAAGGGAGGGAGCAGGAGGAGATCCCCAGGCAAGTTAAGCATATACTCATGTGGGGTTCTACCGTCGAAATAGTTATATGTAAGAAAAGGGGCATCCCCACTGTACGCTTATTGTATCGTTCCAAGCCCGACAAAGGACAACGAGGGAAATACGGAGAAAAGGAAGAAACGATGCCGAAACGGAAGCCACGACGACCCCAAAGCGCAAAAACAACAACACGGGGGGCGAGGGGGACAGGAACCGAGAGGTGAGGCGACAGAGCGACGAGACAGGGCGACAGAAGGCGGAACGATAAGACACAAGCGGGGCTGGATATGCGCCAGGGCGGAAACACGAATCCGAAGTAGCTCACGTTTTTCCTGTTGACACCAACTGTGCTCGCCGAAAACCATATTTCCAAAGGGTGTCAAAGTGATCATGAAAAACCTCATGGGGGAGGCGACGATATTGCAAATCGTCAACGCACCATTACGCACTGGCGTCGGCATCCATTCCGCCAGGGATGGATGGCCAAGATCCAAAGAAGCTGGAACAGCAGGTCCGTGGACAGCCTCATGTCCAGCATCATGCACAGCACGAACTGCCACAACAAAGCGAACAATACGAGCAGACACAGCACGATGAACGATACCGTGAACAGCAGGGGCATGTGCATCGTGAGCGGCCTCTTGTGCAGCACGAGCTGATACATCGCAAACATAATCGGGTATAGTATCGGGCACATCACCGGGTGCAACACGAACTGGCACAGCATCGCGATCATCACGAACTTGTGCAGCATCGTTTATGGCATTGGGTACCGCATCGTATTCAGCACAATGTACAGCACGAGCGAATACGCCGGCATCGTGTGCATCATCTGGTACAGCCCGAATGGGTACACCGCGAACAGCATCGAGTACAGCATCGTGTACAGCGTCGCGTACATCGTACTGCCGTCAACTGAGGGAAGCCGGGGGTCGACGGCATGGCCGCGCAGCGGGTCCTTGGCTCCTTTGCCCCCGCCGCATCCGGTAACCACGGGTCACTACTCTCTGGCCCGTGTCACGGGTTGGAAGACGGACGAGGACCAGAGGAAGCGCCATCCCATCAGGGATACCGCCAGAAGCAGGAAGAGCAGGAGGTACCTCGAACCAGATTGGGACCGCCCGGCGCCCATCAGAGCGTCGATGCCAACGATCAGTTCAGACGCACACCGCAGCCATCTGAACGACAGCATCGCCCATGCTGAGCATGAGGACGCGCGAGGAGGGCGTGGAGGGGGCCGCCGTGCTGTCTAAGGTAATGCGTGCTTACACCTAGCCGACCGTACTGAGGACCTCCCCGCGATGCGCACCACAGCGCCGCCGAGAACTTGTTGGCGGAGCAACCCGAAATTGGACGCGACCACCATGCCGGGAATTGGACGGACGTTGCAGCCAGGCGGCGCAAGCGCACCCAGCAAGACACGAGGATAAGGAGTTTCTGGAACGAAATGGCTAGCTACGGGCGATGGTGATGAGGATGATGAGTCTGCTGATGATGCTGATGATAAGGATAACGACGACGACGACGACGACGACGACGACGACGACGACGACGATGATGATGATGATGATGATGATGATGATGATGATGATGCTGATGATGATGATGCCGATGACGCTGTTGATGATGATGTTGACGATGACGACGACGATGATGATGACGATGATGATGACGATGACGAGGATTGGAAGGAGCAGGAGGAGGTAGAGGAGGAGACAGAGCGTGGCCGAGGAGGAGGAGGAGGACGATCTAAGACACTGACGAGGAGGACGATCTAAGACACTGACGATACCCGCCTGCCTCCGCCTCCCCACTGGGAGCCTCGCAAGCTGCCGACGCCGCATGCGGCTCGCAAGCTCGGGGTCTGCGCTGCACGGCTCCAGCACCCCGAGACCGCTGGTGGCCGACACGCTGGAGAGAGTTGGGGCGATCTACATCCTTCTACGGGCGAAGAACGGTATAACATATTTTTTTTCGCTGTCGGGGGCGCCTGTCCCTTGGCGGCTGGAAAGGTTATACCCCTGCGGTGCCACCGTAAGGGTATAAACTTTCCAGCCGCCCTGGGGCAGGTGTCCCCGACGGCGAAAAAGTTTATTTCATACCGTTATTCGCCCGTTAAGTCCCAAGCATACAGTGGAGGCCAGTCACAAGAAGCCTTCTGCAAGAAACCCAACCCTGAGACTCTTGGTGTGGGAACGTCACGCCTTCCATCGCAGAACCGTCGAAGCCCAGGGGACCCAGGGCACCCTGGAGGCAAGCAGGGTGTTTCTTGGCATGGGCCTCCACTGTACGCCTGGTCCGGAGGCGTGTCCAGGAAGGGGGGGCGTCCAAGAGGGGGTGTCGCAAAGCATGGCCAGCGGCACGTGCGCGGCCCAGAGGGCCCAGCGTCTTACACGGACATGGGAGGAAGGGGCTCCCATTTCTGGGAGGCCTCCTGGCCCTGGCCACGATGTCCGACCCCACACACACCCTGGCCATAAACCCCACGCTGGACGCCCGCCAGCCACTGCCCTAACTCTCCAAAGGGCCGAGGAACATGGGCACTCGGGGCTATGGAAAGCATGATTGGCATCCAGGCCCTGTGCGCCCTGACGGCCAGAGTGGGGGGGGGAGTCCCGCGCGCGGGTGTGGACCGCACCGACGGGACCCAGGCTGCAACGAGCCGGCAAGCCCGGACCTCCGAGGACCCGATTCTTTCCAGCCGCCCGCCCCTGCACGCCTGCGCCCAGAGCCAGACATATCATGCCTTCGCTCTTTCAAGTGCAGTGCCGGTGCCGCTGAAGCTCCGACGCTCCAATGCTGTGCCAGCCCTTCGAGGCGAGCCACACTCTCTGACGGCCTGGAGGCCCAGCGGGGGGCCCGGGAGCCGAGATCGGCCTATAGGTAGCCGGGACCGACCGTCCCTGCTACATATAGGCCCGCCTCGAAATACGCTTGGAAGAAAAGGGTCTGCTACACAACAGCACCAAAATCCTTGGAACTCTGAACATGGAACCGACGTATTGAAACGAGACTGCATCGGCCAGAAATGTCATATGAGCCTCTCGGGCAAACCCCGAGATGTTCTGGACACGTTCCTTGGCCGGCCTATGTTCAGGACAGGACGCTTCGCCACTGCTTCTTTCAGAAAAACGCTGGCGGGGAAACCAGAAAAGGTACTGATACCGCTACTCACCGGACTTCTCCCGGGGTGCTTTCTGACCAGGATTTCGAGGCGAACCCAGCGGTGGCGGCGAAGGCCGCCCATAGGAGGCCAAAAAAGAGCGAGAGAGAGAGAGAGAGAGAACAAAAAGAGAGAGAGAGAGAGAGATAGAGAGAGAAACCAGGAAGGGGGTAGAGATATGGGCACCTTGCCAAAAGATCCGACGTCGTGCTTTTTTCCATGCGCGGTCCCCGGAAGTCTTGACCCATTCCCCAGGACCGGTTCGTCATCCCATGAGTCGTTTGTTGACGGCCCCGAGGCCCGAGGCGAGTGCCCCTGGGCGCCGAAGTCTGCGAACAACCTCCGTCTTGAGTTGTTCCATGCGCTGGATCTCTGGGTCTCCTCCCCTGAGCTGGATAGCGGGAACAAAAAGCGACATAAACATATTATCCCAGTGCGACCCTACCTAGGAGTTGGAGCCCCTAGGAAAGCAGCATTAGCAGTAACAGTAAAACTAAGCTAAAGCTAAGCTAAAGCTGAGCTAAATCTAAACGAAAGCTAAGCTAACGCTAAGCTAAAGCTAAGCTAAAGCTAAGCTAAAGCTGAGGTAAAGCTGAGGTAAAGCTAAGCGAAAGCTAAGCTAAAGTTGAGCTAAAGCTTAGCTAAAGCTGAGCTAAAGCTAAGCGAAAGCTAAGCTAAAGCTAAGCTAAAGCTAAGCTAAAGCTAAGCTACAGCTAAGCTAATGCGAAGCTAAAGTTAAGCTACAGCTAAGCTACAGCTAAGCTAAAGCTAAGCTAAAGCTAAGCTAAAGCTAAGCTAAAGCTAAGCTAAAGCTAAGCTACAGCTAAGCTAAAACTAAGCTAAATCTAAGCTAAATCTAAAGCTAAGCTAAAGCTAAGCTACATCTAAGCTAAAACTAAGCTAAAGCTAAGCTAAAGCTAAGCTAAAGCTAAGCTAAAGCTAAGGCTCCCAGGGGACTGGGGGAACCGCAGGGCGAGGACTGGGGGAACCACCCGGGGCGTTTAGCACTGCCCGGCCCCTTTAAGCTAAGAGAGTAAGAACCCTCTAGGCAGAGCCTAGGTAGGGAAACAACTCGGAGGTCCGCGCAGATTTCTCGCATCGGCGCTGGGGCCCCCCGGCGGCGCCTCCGGCGCCGCCCCTGGCGCGCTCCGCGCGCCAGGGAGGTGGGGGGTCCAGCGCGGATCCGAGAACTCCGCGCGGACCTCCGAGTTTCTGTGTCTATGTCGTTGCTCGTTCCCCTATTGATGTCCCTCCTCCTCCGCATCCTCCTCCTCCGCCTCCGCCTCCTCCTACTCCTCCTCCTCCTCCTCCTCCTCCTCCTCCTCCTCCTCCTCCCTCCTCCTCCTCCTCCTCTTAGTCCCCCCCCCCCCCCCGGCGGGCCTCGGCCTCGGAGCTGAGCTGCAGGTGCGAGCCGTTGCGGGCCTCGGCCGGTTCGCCGCGGCGGACCCCCCCCCCGCCGAGGCGGCGGGGCGCGAGCAGCGCCGCGGAGGGCGTGCGGGCGCGCCCGCGTGGCGCGCGGGGCGCGGGGCGCCTGCGCGACAGCTCCTCGCCCAGCCCCCCTGGGTTTTCCAAGCAATAGCGACGGGAGGCTCTCTTGCCCCCGTCGTCGGCCTTCGGGTAATATAGGAACATGATCAAGACGGGACGCGTGTTTCCCCGGTGTCGGCCTCCCCGGGGCCCCTGCCGGGCCCCGGGGCCGTCAGAAAACATCTCGGGGCGAGAAACCGGTCCCGGGGAAGGGGTCGCGATCTCTTGTGGTCGACGGTATAGAAAAAACAAAAAACAAAAAACAGGACGTCGGGGGTCTGGGGGCTAGGCGGCGAGGTCTCCACAAGGCATGCGGGCTGTGGCCCGAGGACCCGAGGGCGAGGACTGGGAAGCGGGCGGCGAGAGGGGGCGGGGATGGGCCCGGGAGGGGACATGTCGCCTTGGACTCGGCGATGCATCGCCGACAGATCGGCGATCGGCTCCCGGTGCAGCGGGTCCGCAGGTTCCTGGGCGGGTGGGCCGAGAAACCTGAAAACCGTCAAGGCAACAGCTAATGGAGAGCATCACCCCAGCCGCTCGTCCACTCTGGGCTCGGCGGCCAGCTGGGGTCCCTACAGGCGAGTCGCGGATTGAAGCTGCACCTCTCGCCGAAAGTGCAGAAACAAGATTGAAGTCGCGCATCAAGGAATTTGCCCCCGCCCTTGAAGGTGGAAGCCAGCGCATCGAGGCGCGCGGGCGAGGGGCCACTGAGCCAAGAGCCCAGCGCGCCCGTCACCTTTGCGAAGGTGCCCCTCGGCAAGGAGTGCCCACTGCGCCTCGGAGGCCGCCCAGCGGCGCCGCGCAGACTGCGACGAGCATGGCTCCGCGGGACAAGGCCAGACCCAGACATGCTGCTGGGGGTACAGTCGGGGCGTTGACCTAAGGAACGATAAATAAGGAACGAGGCCCCTATTTTCCATAAGTTAAACTCCGATGTCCCATCGAGAACCAAAGGAAAACCCAAGGCAAACCGTGAAGCAATCAAGGAACACGGAGCCACTCCCCAACGAAAAGGGTTCCTTCTTCAGGGCCCCGACTGTACCGGGGCAACCCCCGCGAGCGAGGCGCCACGTGCCAGCACGCGGCTTGCCCTCGAGACCCTGGTACCCAGCGAAAAAGCATCTCTTGGCACTTGGAGGTGACCTTTTTGTGCTCTCCTAGCGCCAGCCCTGCGCCGAACTGCCCGCCGCCAGCGGGCCCGCAGGCGGTCCGTGCCGCCGGCGCCGCCCCCGTCCTCCTCCGGAGGGGGCAAGCGTGAGCTCCCCTGGCGCTCGGGAGGCGGGGGCGAGAAGCGGCAAGGCGGCGTGCCAGAGGGCGCCCTGACGAGCCCTGAGAGGAGACGGCCGCCGGCCCTCCGCGCCGGCTTCCGCGGAGGGCGAGGGGCGCCGGCGGCGCGGAGGTTTTTTCTTTTTTTCTTGGAACGCAAGGCGTCACCGAGGCGCGCTGGC